TCCAGATGACTCGTATACATTACGGAAGATGATTGCGCAGTGGTGTCTGGCCTACCTGTCATCACCGGAGGGCTTAAAAGCGTTAAAGCGCATGAAGTCACGAGAAATGCCATTGGGCTGTGTGGTACTGTCAGCGGGTCGCGCGAATTCGGACGTGGACTTGCTCCAGACTGTCGTGTCCTCAGTATACGCAAGCTTTAAGGCGAGATGGTCAGGTTTCCGCGTGAAAAACGTAAATAGCGGTATGGAAAAGCCTGTTACTGTGCAAGGCCCATTCAACATGCGTGTTGGCGCCGGCATGTGCTTACCTTTCAGAATCCCATGTGGCGGAGAGTTTTGGAGCGTTAGAAAAACACACGTCAGCGAGAGACCAGGTGGCGTCTCTGTTTTAAGCGTGTCGCGCGCGGCTTTCACGGATCACTGTGTGCGAGAACCACTGGCTGTTCCCTTAGCGGTGAGAAGAGAGAGTTTTTTACGAGAGATTCAGCCCAGCCCCGGCCAAGTGTCTGTGAACGACCTGGAGGCTTTTTACGGTTCTCGCTTCGTGGTGCCCCGGTTAGAGAAGATTCTATTGGTGCAGAAGAAGGACGGCGCAGACGCTGGCCACTTGTACGCTATGAAGGTTCTGAAGAAGGAGTGGGTGATGAACAAGGACCTGGTCACGCAGACGATGGCAGAGCGCCGTATCCTACAAGAGGCTGACCACCCGTACATCGTCCAGCTGAAGTACGCCTTCCAGAACCAGGACAAACTATACATGGTCATGGAGTACTACAGCGGTGGCTCTCTTCGTCAGGTGCTGCGACGTCGTGGTCGCTTCAGTATCAAGCGCGCTCGGTTTTATCTGGCCGAGATCCTGCTCGCTATCGCGCATCTGCACGCGTCGAACATTCTGTACCGCGATTTGAAGCTGGAGAACATTGTAATTACTGCGGACGGCAATGTGGCGTGTACGGACTTTGGTCTGTCGAAGGAGGAGATGGATGACAATGAAAGGACGAGTTCGTTTGTGGGCACGTGCGAGTACTTGGCGCCCGAGTTGATTATGAAGGAAGGCTACGGCAAGGCTGTGGACTGGTGGGCGCTGGGTATTTTGGCGTACGAGATGATTCAGGGCGACTCGCCGTTTCGTCACAATGTGCCAACTATTCTGTTTGACAAGATTTTGAAGGAGGAGCCGGAGTTCAGTGATCGTTTTACTCCGGAAGCTCAGGATCTGATTATGAAGCTGCTGACGAAAGACCCGGAGAACCGTCTTGGCTGTGGACCTGACGGCGTTGAGGAGATCAAACAGCATCCGTTTTTTGCAGAAATTGACTGGGATAAACTACTGCAGATGGAGATGGAAGTCCCACGTCCTCCGCATCGCATGGAGGACGTGACTGATGAGAGTCACCTATCTCGCGCTATTGCTAAGATGCGTGAGGCACGTGAAGAGATCATGCCGGACTCGCCCGTGTCGCTGCCGTCGTCCCCGTCTGAACAGAAGCACTTTGACCGCTTCTCGTACCAAGGACTGGGAGACTGGAAACCAGAGATGGCTGACATGGATTTTGATGAAGAGACGGGCGACTTCAAGCAAGGAACCATCCATGAAGACGAAGAGTTCGTTGAGGAGGACTACATTGAGGAGCCTGGCGATGGAGACGGTGTGCCGTTGTCTCCTGGCTCGAAGCAGAACTCGATGACGTCTTCGAAGACGTCTCCGTCCAAGGCTAATGGATCAGATACTCCTCCAGCTTCGAGCTCGGCTGCTTCGGCATCCCCGAGGAGTCCACAGAGCGTGGGTAGTCCTGGCAGTCCTCCACCTGTGCCTATGAGCCCCGGTAGTCCGGAAGGTTCCGCGCCGTGTACGCCGACAGAGCCACAGTCCCAGACCATTTAGGGAACAGCATTCATGGGTAGGCAGGGAGATACATACAGGACCGAGTGTGGGTGTAAATGCATGAAGATGGTTGGGAAATCACATGAAGGGTGAAGGTAGCAAGGAAAGTCAATGAGAGGCTGGGAGTCTTGCGCTGCATTTGGTTTAACGCGTTGAAGCGGGCTCTTGGCCAATCAACGTCTTCATCTGATGATTGTGTGACGTACTTCGTTGCCAGAAAAGGGAACGACTTCGCTGGCGTCCTATCAAAAAAATGAAAAAACGAAAAGTACTACTCGGATATACTATACAAGAGTGGATCGAGTGTGGATCCTATGAAGGAAGGATGGTCGGTGCCCTCTGAAGGTGGATCTAGTAGCCACGGCTAATGAAGAGTCAAGATCCACCGCGAGGTACCCCGGATCCCATACTTCCGAGTTCGGATCCAAGGAGGGAGGATCCCGCCTGGAGGGACCTGGATCCAGGGTATAGGGATGATGGATACAGTGGATCTCGAACTTTCGTGGGACAATGGAGATCACAGACGGTTGCGAGATGATGTTGGATGATTGGAGAGCTCAGATCCACGACGAGTGCAAACTTACAGTGAAGTGGATCCAAGCGACCTGGATCCGGATGAGTGTACCCATAATAGGGTGACCATGATGATTACGTCATGGATCCGGTGGATCTGAAGATAATACAGCTGGGATGATGGGTCAAGGGAAGAAGAGACATGCAGCCGAGCCTGGTAAGGGATTTAGCAGATGAAAGACATAGAAGGTAGAAATCCAGGCAGGTATAGGCTTAAATATCAATACAGTCCTCAATTTGCACAGTATCACGCAAGTGCCTTCCCGCCCTCAAGAACCGGAACTACATTGGCCGTACGAGCTCCGAGAAGGTTGGGAATTGCGAATCTAGTGTTGGTAGTGATAACTGGATAATACATTGGCCAGATCCTACAACCTAGTGAGCTTTTCCTTTACTTGTGCAGATCCGACAGGTTAACCGAATTTACTACTTGGTCGGTTACACCCTAGGGGCTCTCAACTCTCAAGATCCCGTCACAGGAGGCGGCAAGTACGACTTAAAGGACAACACAAAGGCAAGGGAACACACCCGCAAGGCAACCCTACGGCCAGATCCACGATCTAGGCCCCGGATCCATAAGCTCGAATATTCGCTTAGGATACGGAACCATCCACGGACGCAGAGTGAAGATTTTCCACTGCTGCTCCACCCCATCCCCACGTCTCGCCAAGACACTCAAGCTTCACCACTTGAACTCTTCGGAAGTTACCGAGAGAGCAAGATCCCGCCCTACCGACGGGTACACAAGGTGAGGAAAGTTCAGCAGAACACGGATCATCGGGGGACCCCCTCCGTTAGTCGGTGTCTGGGCGCAGTTGGTAAGTTGGATCTGGCAATCTCGCAGATTTTGCTGATCCCGCT